TGAGCAGGTTCCCACCACAAGAACTTTGCTCCCCCAGTTTCTGTACTGCACTGTTTCAGACTAAAACTGGATAAACATAGAGGAACATCGCAGGTGTTTGTATAGGGCCTGGCACATAAGTCCCTCATATCCCCAGAGATTCAAGCTTCTGAGTAGGGCTCCATGTTGCTACAATACTACAAATATAGTAACAGTGACACAGAAGGCTAACCCAGGGAATTGTTCAGCAAGCGTGGCTCAGGGAATAGTAATATCTGTGATAAGACATCAAAAGAAATTCTTACTGTTTCTCAGTAGCTGAGTTTAGACCTAAAGACATGTCAAGCTGCATATGGCCATCAAAATTTATTGTCTGCATGGCATTCAGAGCACTTGTGTTACGTACAAACAGCATTTTATTTCTCTAACAAACAAGACTGGCTGTTGCCCTGTGATCCAGGGAAAGCCTTTAGGAGAAGTGTGCTGTAACATGGCTCAGCTTCTCAGAAACAAAGGGCTTCACTCATCTTTACTGTAATTTCAAGGGAATTAAATGAGATTCAAAATAGATGATTTTTAACAGCCAGCTGCCTTAACACAAACACTCATTTCTTTCTTCCAGTGAGCCAGCTAGGTAGTCAGCAAAGAAGAAGAGTACCCTTCTGCCAGTTGTACAAGATAAAGATAGAAATAGAACATATTTTGAGGCTGTACTGCAACCTTGCAAACCCTTCTAAAGTGATAATAAACATTAGAGAAGAGAAACAGTACACATCTATCAGATCCAGCTCCATGAGCAGCTTCAAACACTGTCACTACAGGAAGCTACTGAGCCACAGCCAATGGGAGGCCCTCTGCAGGTGGTTCTGGGCTATCCAGCAAGGAGCAAACCCTGACCTGTTCCTGTCTCCCCCTTCAGAGCATGGTTTAGTTGGAGGCTGAAGACAGTTTTTTTCCCTGGGAGGAAATTTCTGGCATGCTCCATCCCCCACAGATCTGTAACTACATGGGCACAGGAGCCGCATCTCCTGTTCTTGATAGGACCTTACTCAGAGAATTACATTTCCCCATATCAGAAAGCTCCAGGAGCAAGGTTTAAAGCACATCAAGTGCTATGATACACTATGATACAAAGCCAGCAGGTTAAAAGTTAATGGCTTATTTTTGTGTTACATTCTCACCAAGTAAGGCTGACGCTATCTATTCCCCTGATAATTTCTACAAGTGGCATATTTGAAAACGATGGAAAAATGGCCACACCAACATGTTAATGGGAGCTGTTGGCTATCAGCGTAACTTGAGGTGATGTCTATAGACACCACAGCACTGAAAGCAGCAGCTGTTACCGAGGCAAACAGCTGAAATAAAAGGAAGAAAAGCGGCTTGCAAATAACCGCCTCCGCTAGTCCAGATGACTCTTAACACTCTTTGTATAAAGATACGCTGTTGTTAACATCTGCTTGAAGTTAATCTGAAGAGTTGTTTGCAGATAGCAAAGCTGGTAAGCACCTGCTGCTTTAGGATAGATGAACTTTTGTGGGCATATAACATGCTATTTTATTCCCAGCAGCTCTCACAAACGCCACTCTATAAAGAACAGAAATGAATGGACTTTGTAAAGGGCACTCTAGTTGAAATTGAACAGGACTATATACAAGTATTACCAGATACCAGAATAGTCTGAGTCTGGTTCAGAAATATTCTAGAGCCTGAGGATCCAAGTGGTCTTAGAAGGGTGACTAAGGAAAGCAAACCAATTGCTAGTGACTTAGGTTGGTAACTTGAAGGTCTATGTAGTAATAGAAGTCAAAACTAATGAAAAAAGAAGGTTCCTGGAACTGCTTCACTGGGCTGACTTGCAAAATGCCCTTTAGCATCAGTGTGTTTGAGTGCAGCACAGGTCCCATCTTTATGGCATGCAGGGAATGCAAGAAGTGCAACATATTTTCTGCATTTCCAGTTCACTTTTGTGCTTTCTGTCCCCTTGTTAGATTGTCCCTGAGCCACTCTTCCCATAAAGAATTCCACCTCATTTGAACATTTGTTTGATTTCAGTCAGGTAGATCAAAATGGCAAAGAAAAGGTGACAAAAGCCACAGTGGGACTGAACCTCCCTTTAAAGGACGTCTCTGTATGCCCTCTCATTAGTGAAACTTGTCCGTATTTTCCATGCCATTCCGTTTCAATGGGGAATTGTCCTACTGGATGTGCCCATGCTATAAGATGGTAGCTCTACAGTGAACCAATTAGTCCCTGCCTGTACTTTGGCAAACTTTTTTGCCTTGATTTATCCTTCAATTTTGCCTTGGCCTAATTTATGACTGAAACAGTTTCCAGTTTCCAGAATGGCTGTAAATATTCAGACAACAATTGAAGGTGCTGTGATACAGTATATGTTAGTTTGTGTACCTGTAGCTCAGGTCATAAACTAAACAAGAATTTGTCATACAGGACAACAGTTAACAACAGCAGTTCAGTCCATCTCTTATTTCTGTGACTGCCCACGATTAGGAGGAAAAGTACGAAGGGTGACTGAATCCCACGCATATCTTCTGAGACCTTGTGACATTTCCTGTGTTCTTAATTAGATCTCATTCATCATCTTTTGAGCTTAGCGGAGCTAGCCACTGAGTTTGGTGGAGGGACCAGGCATTTAAGGGAAAGAGGAGGAAGCATCAGTGAAAGGGATGAATTTTTTTCCTACTCTTGAAACTCACTCAAAGGACTAGAATGTCTTCACTCCTTGGGTCAAGAACTGAGATTTTTTACTAGAGTTGTCTTTTAATCAGTATTGCTTTGGAAGGGAAAGATGCTTCTATTTTCCCAGATTACTTCCCACCTCTGCTCTTTCTTGAAAAGTTAAGACCATTCTTCGGTCATACAAAACCATGTCCAAGCTTGATTGATGTATTTAAAATCCTTCCTTTCTGTCTGTACTTTCACAAGATAGTTCTTTTGGAGGTTTGGGAGAGAGATCATCCAATTACAAAGATAAATCCCTCTGAGTTTTACTTTCCCTCAGTTACACAGACATTCCCATACTTTCACTGCCATTTGGGACACTGACTTTGAAGCACTATTCATCAAGATCAGCTGGGCCTGGAGTCTCCTGCATGATCTGTGATGGTCTTCCATTTGACACTCTAAGCAAAGAGACTGGCAGAGTGACCCACCACTCTGTGTTGTACACACAATACCCAGATAACTTCTACATCTTTTTTTTCTCTAATGCATCTTTGCAGCCTTTGCAGAATTTAATTGGTAGTAGTTCCAAATGAATATGGGAGTCTTACACACACAAGTTTCTAGAAAATCAGAGCACTATATTTATGCAGGTGGCAGCAATAAGGTATGTTTGGGAAATCAGATGTCAACTTTGAATTCGGGAAATCAGATTTTTATCTCAGACTATAAGTTATTAACCACTACCACTACTCCTCCTATAAAGCATACACTGTACTGGGAACAATGAGTGCCATTTCTGAGTATCCTGAGTATTTTAAAAAGCCCTGCAAATGCAATGTTCATAATCCTGGATAACCAGGACAGAGTGGATTCAGTTGCTATGGTTGCAGGCAACAAATAGGGAAGATCTCTATTGCACCTCAGACAGCAACAACTGATTGTGCCACTAAATTCACTTATATTCTTTTGGGGTTTTTTATTATAATAATTCACAGTTGTGCTGACTCTGCTGCAGGTAACATTACTGGCATTAGCAGAGGCAGAAAGACCAGCACTGTAATTTGAAAGCCCAGTGAATAAGTTGTTCCTAGCCTAAAACAATGACCTACGACTACTAACTATGTAAGCAGAAACACTCTGAGTTAAATGTATCCATGCAACAATGAAATGTGACTAAAAGCAATCCCAATCAGTTCCGGTACAGCTTGACAATAAATGATAATCAGTTCCAAAAGGGGATTCTTCTTATATGTTTATAATTGATCAAAAAGATTTACTAACATAGAAGAGAGCTCATTCCAGAAACAATAAAACTGTACCACTACACCGATTAAATTACTCACCAAAGTACCGGGAATTCAACAGTCTTTTTAGTGCAATGCAGTTTTAATGTCACTTATGTGGCAAAGAATTTTGCTATGTATTCATCACTAACATATTCCATAAACAGCTCCTTCAAATGCAACAGTATTTATATGCTGAAGATGTTATGTGCCAAAAGGGGGCGTACATTAAGAGGTTAACTAATATTATTCTTTTTCCATCCTACTCTAATTAGGGTCATAATGATTAAGAGGTTTGAAGGCAGTTACTTACTCAAATGTGCCAAGCTTTCTTTTTCTTTTTTTCTTTTTTCTTTTTTTTTGACATAAATATAAGAGTATGTGTGAAGAATAAAACCACAAAGAGCATGTTCACCTCAGGCCCCTTCCCATTATCAGTTTGGGATCACAGGCCAGAACAAGTTTACTTTTTAAAAGATAGCTACAGTTTTCACTCATGTGAGACGTATGAACCAGATGGATACTTTGCTGTTTCAGTTTAGCGAAAAGCAGAAAGGAATGGCATCATCAGTGGTTAAATATATCCTCTGAGTCCAGTTAAGCAGTATCTATTTACAGTATAGATTACCAGGGATGCACAACCTGTGTCTCTTAACAAAGGGAGACAATTAGAGGAGCTGTGACTCTGTACAGTCACTGACATTTTTCCCATTGTATCCGCCCACCTAATATATATGTACTGGTGTAGTGCAGAATGTCTGTATAGCCATCTAAATGCGTCAGAGCCAATCTAATTTTTCACAACAGTTCTTTTAAAAGAGTCACTGATCCACTGTAGAGAGGTAGGATCAGAGTGACACTCAGTGGCAAGAGAGAAAAAGTGATTCTCAGTTTCTCAGTTCTATCTAACATATTACTAGGATGCATAAAATTTTAATCAGATCATTATTCATATTTTCTGCCCATTTGATATTATTCTATGTAAGCATTATAATTCAGACCTAAAGATGTACTTTTGGTTATGCAAACTGAAAGAAAGATTGGATTATTTACTTTACCAAGGCTGCCCTCACTCATAACTTGTGTGCTGTGATCTCCTGCAACTGAAAAAAAGAAAAACGAATTTGAGAAATTGAACTAATATCTCAAAAAACAAATTTCAGAAATGAGACTTGAATCACCACAGTTTTACATTCTGTTGTATATGAAGCTTTGCAGATGACTGGAACAGTCTGAAGAGCAACATTTTACATCTTGCCTACAATGTAGCATGCTGCATACGTATGCATGACAGTTCATGACCCTCACAGTTATTTGGGTTAGATCAAAACATTTTCTGTATGTTTCTGAAAGCAGACTAAGCTATTGCTAAGTGGATTTGGTATCTGAAAAAAAGGGAGACATTTTCCCTTTCATGCAAGAAAACACTGGAATAAATTATGGAATCTTTAGTATTAAAGACTTCTAACATCAGTCTTGACAACTATTTTGAGAAATATTTTAGGTAGAGTAGCTCTGCAGTAAGATAGTGCTGTGGACTGTCAGTCCTTCCAGCCTTGCCTGCTTGGGAGCAGGGGAAGATTCACGGTATTATGTCTGATTATGGTGCCAGCAATTCTTCTGAGCCAGCAGCTGCCTAGAGTCAGTCAAACTCACAGCATTCAAGGATGCTAGTAAATAAGAGTTATCATAATACAATGTTCCTTGAAACACTGTAAAATAATTTCCATCTATCTCAAACAGGGTCCTGTAGCATCATCCATGTCTATGCGGTCTGTTCTAACAAGCAGCTCGTGCCTCTCCCCACCACCACCACCACCACCGCCACCACCTGGACCTCCCCCCATCTTCGATACAGAAACTGTAAAGGATGAAGGAACTACATCTCGTTCCGCCCTATTTGCACAGCTTAACCAGGGAGAGGCAATTACCAAAGGTCAGGAGAAATCAAATTTTGGTCCATGAGTCAAACTACATCAAGAGCTGCCATATGTATTAACCTAACTTCCACTGCATTTTTAAATTACATTTGAGCAACTTCTGATGCTTCCAGGGAGTCTGATGAATGAGACTGCATACCAAAACCTCCTTCAGGAACAACAGCACCCAAATACATTAACACGCCTGAAGTTCACACCATGTATTTAGAAGTATCCTTTAAATTTTAAGGCAGCAAAGCTGGACATCTTCAATCTCCAGTAGCTGGTGAACCTCTAAGCTGCAATTGCAATAAAAATTTATCCCCCTTTCTGATTCACATTCAGCGTCCCAGCCTGTGGCACAATGTGTTAAATGCTAGGTGAAAAGGTATGGCTCATAAATCATCATGGACTACAATAATAAAGCTTTTTGTAATAACACTGGACAGTTGTACCTACAGTGGATGGCTGTGATTTTAACTACATAGGATTGATATATCTGCCTTTAATGCTGCAGGGATATGTCAAATACTGTCATAAATTGGAAAAAGAATCTCATTTTTATGGATGAAAAGTATGATATAACAAGCTCTCAGAGCTCACTACAGAGAGGGATTAGAAGACATTGTGGCATTTCCTGTTATACCTCATGCACAGAAAAAGAGGTTTTATAGAAACTGCTAAAAATGTAGGCAGTTACACTTTAGATCATTACCCAGACAACCTTGAGGAAATGAAGAATTTAAATTCACAGAGTAATTTAACACAATTACAAATGAACCCTTCCTGCTTAAATATGAACACCCTTAGGACTGGAAAACAGACTCTCCTTCATAAACATCCTTTCTTTTTAGGGCTTCGGCATGTTTCTGATGACCAGAAGACTCACAAGAACCCCAGCCTACGTGCCCAAGGTCCATCTGTTCGTTCTCCAACAAAAAGCCATACTCCAAGTCCCACCTCTCCTAAGAATTCCGTACAGCAGAGCCATGCCCCTGTCTTGGAGCTAGAGGGAAAGAAGTGGAGAGTGGTAAGTTCTAGTCACACCTCTAAACTGAAGCCTGCATGTTGCAAACTGGCTTGAGCACTGAAACGAGTTGCAAGAAGCTCTCCATAATCTAGGTGCAACAAGTCAAAGTTGCAGCTAAAATGGGCTGAGTCTTGCATTGCTCTGCCTTGCTACAGTTTAGTTTTTACTGTTCTGTAGCATCTAAAATTAATTCATTTGTCTCTGAAAATCATATGCTAATTCATCTGAAGAATACTGGAACCAGCATATAAATTCCTTGCAAAATCAGACAATCCTCTAGAAACAAGTCCAGTGGAGAACTCCAGTTAAAATCCCTTCTTACAGTCCATTTGTGCAAGTGAGAGATAAAGGTATTATCACAGAGCACTTTCTCCAGCTTTGTTAACCAATGGAATGACACATTTCTTTTTCATCACCCATTCCAAGCAAGTACGTCTTCCATGCTTAAAAGTCAAGAAGTGTTTTCCATTTGTTCAATCTACAGATGGAAAAGGTAGATTTGTTTAAAGTTTGGATGTTAATTTATAGGCATAAACCAAAGAATGTATGAGTGAAAATTCATGTGACTGTGTGGTTAAAAGAGGGGGAAAACAATACGCAGTTTAGTCATGAAGAAGTGTATACACACAGTGATTACTGGGGAACTCAGTTTGCATAAGGTACAGTCAGTTTGCCAGGCTTATGTTGCCTTACAGTTACAGTACTTGGAACTTCCCTTATGCATCCAGTCTTTCCTGGACATCCATGGAGTGTAAATTTCCTTTCGTGCTTCATAATGAAATGAAATTTCTTCACCTATTACTCTTTATTGTATATGGTAATGCCTGCACCAGTTCATAACACACTGTATAGATCATTTTATAACATTCGGGAGAACAAAAGCTTTCTCTGTTCTTCATGGTGATGGTCTAAATTGGGTGGGAGCCAAGCAACAGCTTTGTGAGTACATTTCTAAACTTTCTTTGCTACAAAATCAATGGATTTTGTCATGGCTTATGCTAAATTCTTCAGTTCTGCAGCTCTAAAATATACTTTTGTCATCTAAGGGTGAATTAGGTGAAATACTCAGTCACCAAGCAGATAGCATTTTTAAGCCACAGGAAGGATATTACTCTGTTGTAACTGAAGATGCAATGACTCAAGGACAAGTTGTTCTAAATTCTGACTGTTAGCAAGTTAAAGACAACCAATTAAATAAACTTTCTTTTGAAATAGGAATATCAAGAGGATAAGAATGACCTGGTCATTACCAACACTGAACTCAAGCAAGTGGCCTACATTTTTAAGTGTAACAAATCTACACTTCAGATAAAAGGAAAAATCAATTCAATTACTATTGGTGAGTGGAGAGCTCAGCTGGGTTTTAAATGCTAGTCTTGAAAAAACTGAGTTCTGTGATTAATAATGCATCTGAATCATTCCATTCACTGTAATGGATTGGTCATGTGAGTAAAGTCTCTCAGCTATGCAGTGCAAGACTGGGGATTTTCATAGTTAATGCAGCAGGTGTGCATATATTTGCTTTTATCTTGCCTTTCTTATTTATGACTGCTTTTATTTTAGACAACTGTAAAAAGTTTGGCCTTGTGTTTGACAACGTTGTGGGAATCGTGGAAGTGATCAACTCCAGGGATATTCAGATTCAGGTAAATATCTATTTGAAAAAACAAAGATAGAGAACAAGCAGGCAAAAAGTAAAGCCCAACATGTAGCTACAAGAGATTTTAAAAACTCATGGGAGCACAACAAAAACAAGAGATTCATTCAGATATATCTTTATATGCATTAAATTTTGATGATCTATTCAGAAAATGCCTATTGACCTTCACTGAGCAAACCTCCCTTAGCCCAGTCCCTTCTGGTTCCAGTGAAGCTGAGAGATCTGTATACACTGTAAGAACTGTTACTTCTGGCCCTAATTTTCTTGCTTGCACGCTAAACAATTCCTAATACTTGAAAGTTCAGTGGTACTTATGGAACAAATCCTGGCAGTTAGCTAATTGATTTCTAAGACTAGACGATGGTTACTTCTTTTTCTTACTCTCTCAGTGGAAATGCTGAGCTAGACTGTCAAAGGGCAACTAAATGACACAAAGTAAAAGTAGGTGCCATGGTTTCAAAAATCTCCCCTGCCAGTGATGTGACACATTACAAGAGTCTGAAATGTAGTCATTTACCTACAAATGGGCTATGAACCTCTACTGATTTTGTCTTTGATAACTGGTAAACAAAGCTTCATCAAAGATCATCTTCCTTGGGGTTCTCATGAAAAGAAGAATGGGGTTCTCATGAAAAAAGAATGGGGTTCTCATGAAAAGAAGATACATGTATTTTAAATCCACACGTTGCCCTCCCTACTGGGGACACTTGCCTCACCCAAAATAGAGCAATCATCCCATTCCAAAAACGTCTGTCTATACATGCTTTAATACTGGGTTGTGTCCAAGATACATGACCTAGTCTCAACGGGGACTTTAGGATGTATTCTTTCAAGTGAAAAAGAAATGAGATGTTTATTAAATGATATCAAACTGCTGGTCGTCAAAGTGAGGTCTTTTGCTTAAAAGGTTGTGCCTGCTGTATGACATTACATGTGGACAGTCCTGCTCCATACTTCAGAAATGCTTATCACAGCCACCACATGGAACAATGGGAAGATACTTCTTCATATTTTGAACCTCATGCAAATGGCTGATGTTGCTACTAGCTGTGCATCATCTGCTGAACTGTAATAAGCAGTTTTATTCATGATCCCTATATGACTTCTTATGGCAGAGGCAGTTAGTTAAAGATCCCAGGCATCTATTTGAGTGCTTTTTAAAATAGATTATTTTTATCATTACCTCTAAAACTATTCATGAGAGCTGAAAAATTCATATATAATGAATAGTGAAACCACAGCTTGCTAATACTCAAATAAAATGGAAATATTTTTCCTAAGAATCCAAGTTCTTTTGATTAGCAGGTTCTATGAATATTACATAAAGCTTCTATGCCATAGAGTGGAGTTCCACTTAAGAAGGCAGAGTCTGGCTACATGCAGTATGCCACTTGAAGCAGGCAGTTTCCGTTGGGTTTGAGTATGACAAGTGCTGACCACCTCAATTTTCTCAATATTTTGAAGACCTGGTCTTGTAATTTCCAAATGCATGATAAGTTAATGCAACAAATCTCAGTAAGTTCATCCTACAGATTTTGCTATAGGTACTTCAGTGCCATATTGCTTGGCTCTCCTTTCATTTATTACTCTCATTTGTTATTATACTTTCATGGTATTTCTTGCCAGATGTTTGCAAATTTTTTTAAACACACCCTCCTTTTGTTCTCAATTACATGAGAACCCATTAAAGACAAGACAGTTTAAGATGCATTGATCCACTACATAGATCAGGATCAGGGTGAGATGCAAGAGAACAGACCACTTGTTCTTTGGTTACTGTCACATGTAAGGAACTGAAACTGAAAATATATTCTTACCTTGAATGATGTGAGACACTTTTTCATTAACAAGTACATACCTATCACACGCTGTTAGTGGTTTATGGCTTGGAGTAACCTCAGCCTTTTTGATGCATTGTCCATAGTATGTTGCTCTCCCTGCTTAGAGAGGGCAGGAGAAGAGGAAGGAATTATTACTGACAACCAGCCAGTTAGGCAGTCAGCCATGAAAAAACCTTTTTATCCATAGAACTGTAAACGAGAAGGTATCTTTTTCCCCTCAGGTAAATCTTGTGCTTGCTTTTAAAGTGACATAAGAAATACCTTTAGGGATTTAATTAAATTGATCTCAGTACATTTTCAGAACTGTAGCTTGCCTGAAGGATATAAAACCCATTTCCTACTTTATGCTGTAAAACCTGAAAAAGCTTTGAAGTCTTTGGAACATACTACAAATCACTTGTTGAATACTGCTGTATGCTGGGATCTTTCATTTGCCCATACAGGGTTGGAGCTGACATGTTTGATTTCTTAACCAGTTCTCACTGATGAGGAAGGTGAACACGGCCTAAACATCAGCACAAAAGTGTCACTGAAATTAGACAGAATCAGGCAAGCACTTTCATCAAATGGAACATTAAAAGCTTGCTGTATATAAGTTTGCTGTTGTGTATAGATCTGTTACCACCACCAAGAATTTTCACCATGTCTAACAAATGAAATATAAGCATCATGCAGGCAGCTGACACACAGATCAGATGTGTGCAGATTAATTTGCCGATGACACCAAGCTATGTGGTTCAGTTGATACGCTGGAGGGAAAGAATGCCATCCAGAGGGACCTGGACATGCTTGTGAGGTGGGCTGATGCCAGCCTTATGAAGTTTAACCATGCCAAGTACAAGGGCCTACACCTGGGTCGAAGCAATTCCAAGCACAGCTAAAGGTTGGGCAGAGAAGAGATTCAGAGCAGCCCTGCACAGAAGGACTTGGGGGTGTTGGTCGATGAGGAACTTAACATGAGCCAGCTTCAGTGTGCGCTCGCCACCCAGAAAGCCAACCGTATCCTGGGCTGCATCAAAAGGAGTGTGACCAGCAGGACAAAGGAGATGATCCTGCCCCTCTACTCTGCTCTCATGAGACCTCACGTGGAGTATTGTGTGCAGTTCTGGTATCCTCAACATAAAAAGGACATGGAACTGTTGGAACAAGTCCAGAGGAGGGCCATAAGGATGATCAGGGGGCTGGAGCACTTCTCGTATGAAGACAGGCTGAGAAAGTTGGGGCTGTTCAGCCTGGAGAAGAGAAGGCTGCATGGAGACCTCATAGCAGCCTTCCAGTATCTGAAGGGGGCCTATAGGGATGCTGGGGAGGGACTCTTCATTAGGGACTGTAGTGATAGGACAAGGGGTAACAGGTTAAAACTTAAACAGGGGAAGTTTAGAGTGGATATAAGGACAAAGTTCTTTACTGTGAGGGTGGTGGGGCACTGGAATGGGTTGCCCAAGGAAGTTGTGAGTGGTCCATCCCTGGAAGTGTTCAAGGCCAGGTTGGACAGAGCCTTGGGTGAGATGGTTTAGTGTGAGGTGTCCCTGCCCATGGCAGGGGGGTTGGAACTAGATGATCTTAAGGTCCTTTCCAACCCTAACTATTCTATGATTCTATGATTCAGGCAATGAGAATTTTATTAACAGCATCTCTGTGTGCATTTCAAGTTTGATATTAAGTAGATTTTGTTTTGCAGGTGATGGGGAAAGTGCCAACCATTTCTATTAACAAAACAGAGGGCTGCCACATCTACCTCAGTGAGGAATCATTAGATTGTGAGATTGTGAGTGCCAAGTCATCTGAAATGAACATCCTCATCCCCCAAGATGGTGATTATGTAAGTGAGATATTTTAAAGCTTTCCTCCCCCTTCCCCACCAGTCTTGGTAGCTAACAGCGCTTAAAATGCTAGGAAATAGACTAATACACTACACATACCACATCACCAAATAATTATCTAACACAGTTGAATTTCTGTGTACAGCTATCTCAGCTATCAGTGCAGGAAGAACTCCTCATTTTCTGGGGCATAAAGAAATTTCAAAGATCAGACATGATGTTCTTTATTTCCATTTTGATAGCTAATGCCTCCATCTCCTGTCCATTTAATTTTCTTTTTTGACATCTAAAGGTAATTTCCCAAAGAAACTCACTTCACACAAGAGCAGTCAAACCTGAAGGTGATGATGCTAAGATAACAAAGATAAATATAATACTACTACAGATTAAATAATACAATATACTTTTTTCTTTTTCCAGAGCTGTTGGTAGATGGCTAGCTTCTGTAGTACATCTTAGTATTTTTAACATACATCCTTAAAAGACACTTAAACACGTGCATTTTCCTGGCTCCTTTTCTGTTCTAATAAGATTTTCATACTATGCCCACTGGCAGTTCTAGTAAAGTCCTGCTCTGTCACTTCACACACTTGCAAGGGATCATGCAGGCAGAGGACACTTGTAATAGTTTCCTAGTTACCTCAATAGAGCAGTGTTGAAATTGCACTGAATTGCCATAGACAGAATTTAAATTTCTCCTTACTCTTTTGGGATGGAATTTTGTTTGGTAAAGGGGTTTAAGCTTTATAAAAGAAGACACGTATCAGAGAATTCTCACGCTCTGCATTTCCAAAAGTGACAGCTGAATGCCAGCTTCAGATAACTAAAAAGGGAATGATTTTCAGGGGGTGTATATTCACCTATTTCTTAAAAAAAGTCCTTTTGACCAGTCTCAACTCAAATCACCATAACATTTGAATTTATTAGCTATGGAAACACCTATTTGAGGTCTGAATTAAAAATAATACCCTTCTCTTCACATTGTTTTTTGTTTACTGGGAACAGAGAAAGACCCAACAACATCTCCCATCCTTTCACCAAATACACGGAATAGAAGGAGATTTTATTAGATGTTCTGCTTCTGTTTGTGTACTCCACAAGGGATGCTGAATCTTTCAAAGTATATAACACTTAAAATGATAGTTTGTGTGTGTGTGTTATTTTATTCTTCCATATTGTAATATTGCTTTCATCCTTAAAATTAGATTCCTCACTAAATGTCCATATCTAAATCCTTCCTACTGTCTTCCAAACCAGCCACTGACGGAATCTAAAGTCATTTCTGAGGCTTATTTACTTAGTTGTTCGAAATAATGGTGTGAAAGGGATTATTGCAAAGTAGTACCCTAGCGAGGCTATTTGAAACTGGGTAGCAATAAGGCTTTTTTCCTGTGTGGCATTGTAAAATAGCTTCCTAGGGTAATGAAGAAAGCTTCTCTCTAATCCTGGCATGTCTGAGCTATCAATGCTTTCTCAGTCATGTAGCACTAATAGTATTCTGCCAGTTTTCATGAGGTATCCACTGTTTATTTAACCACCATTGTTGCTTTTGTTTCTTACCAGAAAGAATTTCCGGTTCCTGAACAGTTCAAGACAGCATGGGATGGATCTAAGTTGGTCACTGAACCTGCAGAGATTGTGGGTTAACTTTGCAATGCCATACAGCACTTGCTGACCGTGACCAGACCACAGCCAGCATGAACAAAGCAGTAATGTAAAGAACTAGAAATTAGCAGTAGCTCATACTGCTGTGATAGGCCTTCAAGCGTTAGCTCTGCATGCTAGAAACAATAACACATCTGGCACCCTTTTGTTAGGCATCCCAGTACTCTTCACGTTTCCACAGTTTGCATACATTTTTAATTCTCCATGATTTCATGTGAATGTAATAGACTAAAACCCCCACCCTCCAGTCATATCATTGGTTTGAAACACTGTATGCATTAAGCCAAAATACTGCATGATACACTTTGTTATCATCTTGCTTCAGTGCATTCCTTTTCATGTTTCTGCTAATCAAAAACATCATGAAGACTTTAAGATGTTTATTTTTACCTATGAAGCAATTTCTGTATGATGCAGTAAAAATGCACCCCTAGAAAGTACGCAGTTCCTTGTAGTTCTGTGGCAATCATAATGGGGTTTGTTTTAAACAAGCAAAAAAAGGACAACTTTCAGCAATACATTTTGCTAATGGAAGATGAAAGAAAATCTGGTATTTTAATCAAACACTTTTCTAATACAGATATTTAGAAGATCCCTATGTGAAGTAAGATTATTATGGTCCACACAAACTTGCTGTTGCCTTCTCATTTCTTGCAAATTAGTAATTCTTTTTAACCTAAAACCTCATTTAAGCTAAAACCTCGTTTAAGCTAAAACCTCATTTAAGCTAAAACTTTGCAGCAAATCTCTTGAATATTTTTTGCTCCTTGGATTTCTTTTTTAATTTTTTTTTTGTGAGACAGTCTCTCATTCTTTAAAATTTCACACTGTATCTTGCATCCTATTCAGAAGCCTGAGGGAGGCGTCTATGTCAGGTACCAGCTAGTTTCCTTATTAACAACATTGCTTTCAAATACTGCTCTTGTAGCTCATATTCATTTAAAATATCTTCCTGTTTATTCCTGTCTTTTGTAGGACTTTCTCCATTTCAAATATGCCCACAAAGCAAAGCCATACATTTATGTTGTACTAATTCTGAGCCCAATTAAAGGGGTAATTTCCTCGTTAGCCCTTTGATGCTACTTTATAGTCCCTATTAGAGATGCTTTTTTAACAAAGGTGAGTGTTGTATACATTTGTACTATTTCAGCACATAGTATGAATAAAATTTTAACTATTTTAAAAGTCAGCTTATGTTTTTGATCACTAGTAATACTTTGTACCAGTGAGATGCTTGCAGAGCTAGTTACAAGCTAAATTTTGTGCCTAATTTACCTTGAAAAGTACATTAATTCTTGAAGGGTTTTAAGTATATGTTTGATTGTAAACCCTATACAATGCAACTAGTAGTGCTCATTCCGTAAGGTTTTGCTATCATCTAATGTTTAATCTATGTGTATAATGTGTTTGCTTTAATACATACCATTTTTTCAACAGTAAACTTCTTATAAAATAAAAAGGAAAATGTACTTGTTTAAATACAAAGTTGTTCAGAGCTTGCTTCATTGCAGTGTTTGTCCTATCTGCTTCTTCCTTAAATGCTGTTTCAAAAGCTTGATTGAGGAAAACATAGCTCCTTCTCCCATTTCATTAAACATTTATCACTTTTGCTGCCATAAACCACCTGATGAACAGTGGGTATTCTGCATGCTAGCAGATAAACTTGAAGTTTTGTGCATATAACTCTGGTGACAGCCAGAGAATTGAGCTTTTTATGATTCTCACTTTTAGGTACACCTGTATCTTCCAGAGATTATGTCTAGGGAGATGATCTTTAAGGTGAATGTTTATAAAGTTAGCCTTCTATTTTTAGCTTTTCCCATTGTTTCCTTATATGGCTTTGGATGTGTCCCTCCTGTGTTAACAAACCACGAGTGATCAGCTCCCTATTTCACTTGGATGTGCTTCATATCTGAAAAATGGGCATCGCATACTTGTCATGATAAAATGATTATTGAAGGATTTTTTAATCCTTAAATCATCATCTGTTCTGTAAAATAATCTCATTCTGGAACACTCTGACCTGAAATCCTGACTTGTTTTGATGCAGCATCAAATAGGCATCAAGTCATTATGCATTAACAGGAAGGAAGCCACTTAATGCTTTGGAGGTGTGATGCAAAACAAGTGTCAAATGCTTGATGATAAACAGAAAACAGCAAGACAGTCATCAATCATTACATGGGCAGGTGATTTTAGTTCCTCATAGGGATTCAACTCCTCCCTCAACACCAGTGTGAAGGCCACTCTGAATCTTCTTTCAGATGTTTGAAAACAAACTCCCTTGTGGCTAGACATTCTCTCTACCACTCATGTTCCTGCAACTTGCAAGACCCACATGCAATTTTTGACTGGTTTCTTTACAGGAAGAAGTCTTATGCAGTAACAGTCTGTGTCTGACAGTCTGAACACACCTGAGAACTTTTGTCAGAGGGCAGAGGTTTAAAAGATAAGGAAGAAGGCCTTGCAGGGCCAGACCCAAGGTAATTGCTTCAAGCGGAGAAAAGGCTAAGGTTAACAAGTCCATGCATTATTGGTCACCAGAAAAAACAGGAAAGAGACTTTTAAAATATACAAATAGCTTTTATCCAGTATTTTTAGTCAGCTACATGACAAAAAATAATCTGTAACTAGCTGTCCATCACCCAGTAAAATACATGTAAAAGAGAGAGATTATTAAGTGTCCGAATGTGGAAAGCTTTTTCTGTTTTTCCTATGAAAAGCTTCAACAGATCTCATACTTTCTTAAATAGAACCTCTGTAAAAGTACTCATGAGTTACTCTCTACAAGTACCTCATGAATTTCAACAAGGGAAACTGCAAAGGCCTGCACCTGGGTAACAACAGCCCCATGCACCAGTGCATGCTGAAGGCTGTCCAGCTGAAGAGCAGCTCGGCAGAAAAAGACCTGAGAGTTGTGGTGGACACCAAGTTGAACATGAACCAGTGATACGCACCTGTGGCAAGGAAGGCTGACTGTGTCCTGGGCTGCATAAGGAGAAGCACTGCCGGTAGGTCAAGGGAGGTGATCGTTTCCTTCTACTCAACATTGCTGAGGCCACATCTGGAGTGCTGTGTTCAGATCTGGGCTCCGCAGTACAAGAGAGACACGGAGATACTGAAGAGGGTCCAAGTGGAGGGCCATGATGATCAAGGGACTGGACCATCTCTCCTATGAGGAAAGGCTGAAATTGCTGGGGCTGTTCATCCTGGAGAAGAAAAGGCTCAGGGGAGATCTGTTAATATGTATAAATACCTGAATGGAGAGTGCAAAGAGGACAGAGGCAGGCTCTTCCCAGTGGTGCCCAGTGACAGGACCAGAAGGACAAACTGAAATACAGAAGGTTCCCTTTGAACACCAGGAAACACTTTTTCACTGTGCAAGTAACCAAACACTGGCACGGGCTGCCCAGAGAGCTGGTGGAATCTCCCTCCTTGGAGACATTCAGAAGCTGTCTGGACATGGTCCAGGGCAACTTGCTGCTTAAGCAGAGGGCCTGGACAGACCAGATGACATCCAGACGTCCCTGCCAACACTCTCTGTGATTCTGTGATCTTGCTTAGTTATTCAGAATATAGGTTACTAAGAATTAGTGGGAATTTGAAGTATTGAGGTAGTGACTCCATGTAGCCACGAGATGGCAGAAACCAGCTGAGACCCAGGCCCTCGCAAATCCTTACTGCGAAAAAACAAATGCTGGACTACCGTCTTTACAAAGGACATGTATACTGTTAGTCAAAAAAATGTGAATTCTACTCTCTAAAAGTCACTATAAAACATTTAAGGATTACTTTGATTTTGAAAATACCATCTTGGTAAAGGAACAGGTTTGATTATGGTGAACAAGGAAGAAAGAAAACAATTATTTGTCACCAATGATTCATTTGATCTTTTGGTTTTTTGAACACTGCTAAACATATGTTGATTAAAAGCACATTTAAAAAAAAAATACGTGATTGAATTTAGAAGTAATATTTAACAGAGCTATTGAAGAAAAAGGAGTAAATAATTTCAAGTCTGCAGTTGAAAATCAGAAATCTTTTCAGGGTCCTAGAGCATTAAAAACTTGCTAAGGCTTCCCAGTATCATAGTTATTATCCAGACAAACCATTCTTGTTCTTACTCTCTTCTGAGTCCTCAGTATATCTCCATGAGTTCCTTCAGTGTTACTGTACTATGTGCATATTCATAAACCTGTGCATCACGTTTCATTCCCAGAGATCAAGCATTAGTCCATTTGGAATCCTATTCAGTAGGCACCTTGAGTGCACTCTCCTGATGCACTGTTTAGCTGGGCTCCTTCTAAAATGTGGAAGCAGCTGCCCCTGGACAAATGGAGGCAATGTTCACTCAATTACATGGTATGCCAAGAAGCAGAGCAGTTATCAAGAGCATACAAGACAGCTTCTGTTCCCCTGCTGAAGGTGATACGAGCCCACTGCCATGAAAATATTGCCCAGAAGTAGCTACTGTCCTCAGAAGGTGCCTATAAACAGGCTCCTGACATACAAAGCAGTCATCAGATAAAAATTGCAAATAACTCTCCCCAGGGAACACACTGACTACCAGAAAACAAGAACCTGCTGCTTCTTTATGGTTTAAACAATCCTGAAAAATCTTTTTGGGCACCAAATTTTTGTAGAAGAACAGAGAACCATACAATCACAGAAGAAGAGAATGGATTGGATTGGAAAGGACCTTAAGATCATCTAGTTCCAACCCCCCTGCCATGGGCAGGGATGCTTCACTCTAGACCTTATCACCCAAGGCTCTGTCCAACCTGGCCTTGAACACTGCCAGGGATGGAGCATTTACCACCTCCTTGGGCAACCCATTCCAGTGCCTCACCACCCTCACAGTAAATGCTCCCTACGCCACCAGCCAAAACTCAGGAGTGATCTTCTAGACTTAACCCTGCTTCCCTAAGTCTTGCTGCATGCCAAGGACCCTACCTGACCACCACTGACCACCAAAGACTTTCCTTCTCAAAAACCCTAGTCCCTGTGCTGCTTTAACAGAGACATACTCATATTTTCTCTTGGGGAACACTGAAGAATGTGATGGGGAGTTCAGTAATTGGTAAGGCTTCTGAGTGCCACACTCTTGAGGAAAGCTCTTTTCTAGTTACTCTTCATTCAAACCAGGTCAAGGTAAAAGGCAGATAAAGGTATCTACACACAACTCCCAAACCAGACAGTACTAGTAAACAGGCAACCACACTAAAATTCTCTGTACCCTGCTCTTACCTTAAAGTGGAATAGTTCCTTTTTTTTCCTCCTGCTGATTTGCTATGGTCTGTTGATCAACTGTGACTACTAGGGCTCTTTTTTTCTGTCTGTATTACACTTGAAGTTGACATTAGAAAGAAAATGTGTTTCGGTAGACCTTTTAGAGACAGTCTCTCTTTCAAACTCCTTGGATGGATGAGACAGATCAGTTTCAGAGTGAAAGGCTAAATTTCATTTTGGGAGAGAGTTGTGCCATTTTTCTACATTGAAATACATTATGTTTTACTTTATATGTATGTAAAAGCATACATTTGGAGGTTTTGGCTCAAGTTTCATGTTCTGTACCTGGCTTCTTGCCCCAACAAGGGGTAAAGTTCTCACTCTTTGGTGACCCAGTCTGTATGTTTCATTAATGAAGAACCTCTTTAACCAACATTTGCATTTAGTTTCCCTCTGTACATGAACATACTTTACACACTTACATGGATACAAAAGTCTAAGTAGCATGAATATATGTAGGCTGCTGAGCACAACAATGATTAACCACTTTGAAATGATAAGAGGCAGCTGTTGATGAATGTCCAACAACTCTCATCTGAGGTCTCTTTAAAAGCACTCCTATTATTAGAACACTTCAGCATGATGCAGGAAATGTGATCTACATCCCCCAAGCAAAGGAAGGAATTGAATTTCAGTTTCATCCAGATGAATGCTTCACCTGTTCCTTGGTGTTAACATTTTATTGTTTAAAACCCTGCCACAAAAACAAGCAGCTAGAATGTGTATAAAAATGAGCTAAGATACATCTCTGTAGCCCTAAACACCACCTTGATTTACAGCAGACACGGATTCTACTACTTCCTAGTGACAATAAGAGATTCCCTGCTCAGGAGTGACAGATTTTCAGCATTATCTGTATTTAAAGAGCTTAAGATGGGATTCCAGATTCCCCTTAAACCATAACTATTGCAGTATCATCTTTTAGGTGCTTACCTCCCTCTTTTGATCTAGTTCAAAATATTTCCTCTTGCCTAAATCTCATTTCCAAAAAAGAGGTTGAATTTTCATCAACTGGTACAATGAACTACCTAAGATTATTTCCCTTTCTGACTTTGCTCGCAAGAGAAAGCAAACTAAAGTAGGGAGAAGTAGGTGCTACAGAACACTAAGTATTCCCATAATTTGTGTGGCAACCTGACACAGCAACGAAATAAGACCTCTGAAAAGCCTATGTGAGTTCCCCATCTCTGGCAAGCCTTGTGGTTACAGCATCCCAGAACAGAATAATCTGAAAGCTTGCAGAATTTGTGAGTGTTTTGTGGATTATTTTTTTAAGGCAGAAGAACGAAAACCTAATGAACTGTAATATCTGGGTGTGAGGAAATACTACTACATTGTCTCAGCTACTTCTTAACTCCCTTGCTCCCTGTTGTCAGTGACTCCATTTCACCTGGAGTACCCAGCGTAAGCACACAGTGAGTTCTAACGGGTTATGCCTATTTAATGCTGCTGCTGACCCCAAAATTTACCTGTGACTGGCAACATTATATGAAGCCTGTGAGATCTTGCAATTGTACCTGGAGAAAAAAAGAAAAGCCTGACACTATTTGGTCCTGAAGGGTTTGTTGTGAAAACCTAATTAAAAAAAAAATAAAAATAAATAGACTCTAGATGATGAAGGAAGAAGTGAAATAGTATAATGAAAAAAGCTGTTACATTACTTTTACTGTCAGTTTTCCAAGCTAGTTTTTCTACTAGGAGTTAATAGCTGCCTTAAGATCATGTTTTCTTCTACACACCTGTCTACCTTCCTTTTTTGATTCTTCATTGTTCTTCCTAACCATGCTAAAACTTCCTATGCTTCCCATTTACCCATTTTGATTTCACCGAGGCCTATGTTACAAAACACATGCTAGTGTAATTAGAACCATTTCTACATAATGCATGCCAGTACCTAATGCAACTGCACTTAATTAAGATGGCAAGGGTTATTTGCCAAGCCTTTGTCAGTTCACCTTACTTTGTCTCTGTGGGAGACTCACTGTTTAGAAACTACTTCAGTTTTCAAATGAGGTAGGGTTATATGGGAAAATAATATATTTTAATTTAATCTAACAGGGAGAGGGAGAAATTTTTGGGGGTTTTCAGCTTTGCTGATGACACCAAGCTGTGTCACCAAGCAGTGTGGTTCGGTTGATACGCTGGAGGGAAGGAATGCCATCCAGAGGGACCTCGACACACTTGTGAGGTGGGCTGATGCCAACCTTATGAAGTTTAACCATGCCAAGTGCAAGGTCCTACACCTGGGTCAGAGCAATCCCAGGCACAGCTACAGGTTGGGCAGAGAAGAGATTCAGAGCAGCCCTGAGGAGAAGGACTTGGGGGTGATGATTGATGAGAAAATGAACATAAGCTGGCAGTGTGCACTTGCAGCCCAGAAAGCCAACCGTATCCTGGGCTGCATCAAAAGGAGCGTGACCAGCAGGTCGAAGGAGGTGATCCTGCCCCTCTACTCTGCTCTCATGAGACCTCACGTGGAGTATTGTGTGCAGTTCTGGTGTCCTCAACATAAAAGGACATGGAACTGTTGGAACAAGTCCAGAGGAGGGCCATGAGGATGATCAGGGGACTGGAGCACCTCCCGTATAAAGACAGGCTGAGAAAGTTGGGGCTGTTCAGTCTGGAGAAGAGAAGGCTGCGTGGAGACCTCATAGCAGCCTTCCAGTATCTGAAAAGGGCCTATAGGGATGCTGGGGAGGGACTCTTCATTAGGGACTGTAGTGATAGGACAAGGGGTAACGGGTTAAAACTTAAACAGGGGAAGTTTAGATTGGATATAAGGAGGAAATTCTTTCCTGTTAGGGTAGTGAGGCACTGGAATAGGTTGCCCAATGAATGCTCCATCCCTGGTGTTGTTCAAGACCAGGTTGGACGAGGCCTTGGGTGATACAGTTTAGTGTGAGGTGTCCCTGCCCATGGCAGGGGGGTTGGAACTAGATGATCTTAAGGTCCTTTCCAACCCTAAGTATTCTATGATTCTAAAAGTGGGAAATACTCCATTTTTACTGTATATACTAGTTTGTTCAGTATGAAGCTATGTTAACATCTGTGTTATATGGAACTTGTGTCAGGTTAAGGTGCTTTATAGTACACTGGGAACTTTAAATATTAAAAATTAATTTAGAGAACTGTGTTTAAACTTGCTGTAGGGTTCCTTGTTCTTTCTTCAGCATTTTTGCACAGGAAGAACATGAGTGTGGTAAGGGGAAAGATGAAAAAAGGGAAATGGGAAAGAGCAAC